TTGTCTTCTATGTCTTTAGGCTCTTTAGATATATAGACCTTGTATGGGATATTTGAGTTCCAAGGTGTGAAGGCGTAATGTTGTATCTCCTCGGTGTTTCTAGCAAGGACTGTGGAGATAGATCTAGTGATCTAATCTAGTTGTTTCCCTTTATTGCTTGTTATAGCAATATTAATTAGGTGGTTTAGGGCTAGTTTTTGAGCTCTAAAGGCGTATTGTCGAAGAGCGTTGTTTAACCTTACTCTAGGTGGGTAGAGGTAGGCCTCTACCTCACTAGGTATAGTTGGGGAGGTCTTAAATGTGCCTAGAATCTTCCTACACGCTCTATTTTGTAGTAATTGCCTTTGTTTAAGAGCTAGTTGTTGTTGTTTCCAGAAGATCTGACAACCATAGTCTGCTACGCTAGTGATGCAGGCAAGGTATAATTGTCTAAAGGCTCTAGGTGATAGGCCTTTATTGCTATTTGCTAGTCTGCTTCGCCAAGTAAAGGCTTAGTTTGCCTATTAGTTTCTAATAAAGTAGTGATCCTTGAACTTAAGGGCTTTGTCAAAGTAGATGCCTAGCCATCTAATTTGCTTTTTTAGTTGAAAGGTCTCCTAGGTAGGTAGTGTGAGAGAATCTTAATCCTTTTTTAATCTAGTCTAATTTACTAGTTTAGTCTTTAAGCTGTTAAATTTAATTGCTAGCTCTTCTGCTAGACTAAAGAGTTTTTAGGTCTCTTTTTCTAGTAATTTAACATTTTTCTTAATAGATATTGTAAATACTAATATCTATAAGTTGTCTATATAAGAAGAGAAGTAGATGTTTCTATTTGTTATAATTAACTAAAATAGTAGTTTTATATAGATTAAAAATAGAATTAGAGAAGTAGGGCTGCCTTAGGGTGTACTAGTGTTTACCTTCTGTAGGTCTTCTACTTGGCCATTAAAGGATAGCTCTAGTAGTCTATTTTCTAGGAAGGATTTAGTCTAGGATAGTAGGCAGCAGGTAAGTCCTTAATCCTTTATATTTTCTAGTAGCTTGTTTTTAGCTACGTGATTAAAGGCTTCTTTTATGTCTAGAAATATAGTTATAGTAGTCTTATGCTTCTTTCTCTGCTGCTGTATATTATTATAGAATAGGAGAGCAACGTTAATTGCTAATTTCTTTAATCTCCCGCCTAACTAGGTAGGGTGGAGTAAGTCTGTTGTTTCTGCTAGTGCTCCTAATTGTCTTGCAAATAGTCTTTCTAGTACTTTCCCTAGGCAGCTTAAGAGTAAGATAACTCTATATGCCTTTAGGATAGAGTAGTCTAGCTTTCTAGGTTTCTTTAGAATAACTCCTTTAGCTTTTCTCTAGCACTTTAGTTAGTAGCCAAAATTAAATAGAGCTAAATATATCTTAAAGAGTAATTCTAGCTATGCCTAATAGACTTTTTAGACTATATCCTGGCTAATTAAATCTAGTCCTGGCGAGGTAGCTTTTACGCTTACGCAGGCGAATTCAAGCTCTTCTTTTGTTAAAGCTAGCCACTCCTATCTACTATCTCCTTTGTAGGTATTTAGTAGTAGGGCTAGAGTAGATAGTAGTAGAGGGAAGAGATCTTCTCTAAAGGCTTAGTGTAATGGGCGGGCCCAACGGGCCGAGCGTACGACTACTTACGCCATCCATTGCCAAAAAGGCAGTAACAAGACTTCAAGCTTCTTGAAGTCTAGGTAGTCGTATAGATATACTCGATCACACACACACTTTTAGGCGTAGCCTCTTACACTTAGCATTTTTCTTTAAAGGTCTCCTTGCCTTTAATAGCAGGTATCCTTATAGATAGGTTGTCTTTTATATAGGCTATAGCTTTAAATATCTCTTTTAGCGTCTCCTTTTGTAGGAAGGTTTCCCAGTAGTTGAGCTTTGCTTTTTTAATAGCTTTTAGATATCTGTATTTTGCAATAAGATACTCTTTTTTCCACTAGTTAATTTGGCTGTTGTCCTCTCTACTAGCTTCTCTTTTAAGGGCTCGAAAAGCTTTGTTTTAATCCAACTTGAGGTTATCTAGCTCACTAGTCCACCAAGGTTTTAGCTTTGGTTTCTAGCTAACTAGTAGGGTGGATTCTTTTAGAGCTGTTTGTACTACTATTGTAATATCTTCTCCTAGTTTCTCTAGTTTCTCTACTAGGGAGTTATCCTAACCTAATAGGATCTTTCTTGATAAATAGCTAGAGGTGTAGGGTAGGTCTAGTAGTTGTGCCTCTAGCTGTTGGTTGTTGACTTCTTCATTAAGTGTACTATTGAAGATGTCCTAGTTAGTCTTTTTAATATTAAATCTCTTTAGCTGGCTAGGTAGCTGGCCTAGGCTTTCAACACTAAAAAGGATTGCGTGGTGGTCTGATCTAACTCCTGGTATAGTTTGCCAGTCCTGGATTTTGGCAGCTATATCATTAGTTGCAAAAGTAAGATCTAGTACACTTTCTTGCTGCATATTTACTCGAAAAAAGGTGCCAGTCCCTAGAGTATTTAGAAGAGAAAGGTTTTGGTTGTCTACCCACTCTACCAGATCCTCTGCTTCTTGGTTTGGGTTTTTATCCTGTAGGCTCCATCTAGGGTGGTGGGTGTTAAAGTCCCCTAGAAGGTTCTGTATTAACTACTATGCGCTTAACGCTATTACGCAAAAAGACTAATACCCTCTTCCTCTAATTTGTGAGACTCTAAACTAAGTTAGACGAGCTAAGTGGTATACTAAGCTAGACGTGTCTGCTGCCTTTTATAAAATACAGATTACTAAAGGATAAGAATAGATAATAGCCTTTTAGACGAGATTTGGCTCGTACGAATAGCTAGTCACACCCTTTAGTCTAGCTAATGCTCTAAGTACGTTCTAGCGCTACGTTAATTAGATCTTACAAGACCTACTAGACGACTTTGTATCTACTTACCTTAACGATATCTTAATTTTTATAGACAGCTCTCTATCTTAACACCACACCTACGTACGACAAGTGATTAAACGACTACAAGTAGCAGGACTATAACTTAAATTAAATAAGTGCGAATTTAACGTCTAACGTACGAAGTATTTAGGGTTTATCCTTAAAGTAAAAAAGGGTGTCTTAATGGACCTAGAGAAGACAAAAGCCATCTAAGAATAGGAACCCCCTACGTCTGTCTAAGGCG